CTCATCCGGCAGGTGCTGGAGGGGCTGCTGCACCTCGCGGGCCTGGAGGAGCGTGTGGTGACCGTCGTGGACATGATCACGCAGAGCCACGCGGACCTGGACCGCCGTGCGCTCACCTTCGCCGCGCGCTCCTTTTACCACAAGCTGCGCGCCGCGGAGCAGTACACGCCGCGGGCCACCTACCACGGCAACGTGACGCTGCTGCGCGCCAAGAAGGGCGGGGCGCAGGGCGAGGACCTGGGCGCCGACTACAACCTGTCCCAGGTGTGCGACGGGAAGGTGTCGGTGCACATCATCGAGGGCGACCACCGCACGCTGCTGGAGGGCAGCGGCCTGGAGGCCATCCTGGGCATCATCCACGGCGCCCTGGCCGAGCCGCGCGTCAGCGTGCGGGAGGGCTAGCCGCCCGGCCCGGCCCGGTCCGGTCCTGCCGCTGGGCCCGGCCTGCACCCCGGGGGCCGCTAGAAGTAGGACTGACGCCCGCCCGCCCTGGGCACCTCCCGCCCGGCCACCTCGGCCGCCACCACGTGGGTGCGGGGCCGGGACCCGCGCCACCGACTCGGAGGCCTCCCTGGTCTGTGAAGAGTCGGCCGAGCCGGGCGCGATCCCGTGAGCCCCCGACGCCACGTGCAGCCCGCGCGCCCTTGGGGTCCCGGTTTGGATTCTATTTATTGCGCCGCTGGGGAGCCGCGGGCCAGGATGCAGCGGGGCAGCGGCCGGGCACCCACCCTGTTCCCTGTTCTTTTTTCAAGAAACACATTCATGTTGCTGCTCAGATTTTGAAATTTATTATAATTGTCAGTTCAAAGACCCTGTCTGGATCTGTTTCATTTTTACACGGACTCGGGGACGATAGGGACCCCGTGCTCTCCGTGCCCTCCAGCACCAGCGCCCCGAGGCAGTCTGGCGCCCCCTGCAGGCCACACCGCCGTTAGGAGTGACAGGCAGCGGTGTGGGGACCCCCGCACCTCTGGCCAGAACTGAGACCACGGGTCTGCGCCCCAGGGCACGTGTGGAGGCGTCCTGCCCTCCCTCCGAGAGAGAGTCTCTCTCTGAAGTCGCTGCGTGTGGGTGAGACCCGCATGGCAAACCCTCAGCCACTCCGGACGGCGCGGAGGGGGGGTGACGGGCAGGGAGAGCCCCTGGGCCGGGGGTGAGGTGGGCGCCCTGGCATGGGGCTTCTGGGCTGACGAGGTGAGCTGCAGAGTTGGGCTCTGGGAGGGGTGCGAGGTGGGGACAAAAGACGGGGGGGCAGGTCCACCTGGGCTTCTAGAAGGACGTCGGGGTCCCAGCGACAGGCCAGCGCTGACGTTCCTGAGAAGTCTGAGCTGCCGCCCGAGCCCACACCCCGCTCCTGGTTTGTGCCCCAATAGACCCGGAAACGGCTCGGCCCACAGCTTCGCTCTCCCAACAGCCAAGGGGGGAGCAGCCGGTGTCCGTCCGCAGGTGGGCGGTCCGCGATGGGCTGTCCTCAGCCACAGAAGGAAGGAGGTTCTGATTTGTGTGCAACACGCTGAAGCGGTGGGAGGGTTTGTGGAGCTGGGACCTTCCCATCGAAGGTTCCAGAGCAAGTGCATGAGGGACGGTCGTGCCACGTGAACCCACGGAGATGACAGTCCCACACGGCCGGGCCCTAGAACCTCTGCGCTCGGGAAGCAGAAGGGAACGGCCGGAAGGAACGGGCGAGGCTGGAGGTCCCACCCCCCCACCCCCCACCCCCGCTCCGCCATGGGCAGCAAGAGGCGGTGAGTGAGGAACCAGCAAGTTCATGGGGGACCTTGGCCAAGATGGGCCACGTTCTGGGTCGTAAAACGAGTCAAATTCTAAAGGATTCACTCCCTATAACATTTCTCTGACCGCAGCTGCAGAGAATGAGAGTCGATAGCAAAAAGCCCTTGACTCTCCTCGAACACTTAGGAACCACTTCTAACTCCGGTTAAAGGAGAGATCAGCGTGCAAATTAGGGTTTTAAACTGAAACGTGTAAAAATGTGGGATTCGGCACACACGGTGCTTAGGGGAGATCGATAGCAGGAAGGAAAGGCCAGCGTCAAAAAAGAAGCCATTTCTCAAATCAGTGACTTCAGATTCCACCTTAAGAAACTAAAGAAGAAAAAACCCAATGAGACCCAAACTTAGTACAACAAGAGGAACTAACACATCAGAGTAAAAATCCATGTAAAAAGCAAAATGAGTGAAACCAAGACTAGTTCTTAGATTCATTCCCAGGTTTGGGGCGCACGTGTGCGTACACACACACACACACACACACACTAGTTCTGTGAGAACCAATAATTCATAAACCTTAGGCCAGAGAGAGCTTGGGTGTGTGTGTTGGGTGGGGGGGGGGGGATGACAGGTGATATCACTAAGATTATACACAAGGATTATTATGAACAACTTTATGCCAAACAACTTAAATGAAGTGAGCAAATCCCACACAAGGCGAAGAAGTAGACAACCAGAATAACCCTGCATCTATTGAAAAAAAAATGAACTTTTCCACAAAAAGAAACCAGACGAACGGCAAATTCCACCAAAAAAAAAAAAATCTATTATGGCCTGGCCAGTGTTAGTGGTTGAGAGTGGACCCAGGAACCAAGAGGTCACCGGTTCAATTCCCGGTTAGGGCACATGCCCTGGTTTCGGGCTCGATCCCCAGTGGAGGGCGTGTGGGAGGCAGCTGATCACATCAGTGTTTCTCCCTCCCTCTAGTCAACTTTTCTCTAAAAATTGCGGTGGATGTTTGTGTACTAACCTCACTGGGCTCGCTTGGTCGGACTGGGCTGTTTGTGTGTTTTCTTTTTAGGCTCCTTAGGGGTTTCTCTGTAGACAATCACACCGTATGCAGACAGGGGCGCTTTCCTTGTTCCTCTCCAGACACCTTTTCTTTCTTTTCTTGCCTATTGAGCTGGTTGAGCTGCCAGCGCTGCTTTGAGGAAGGCTGGGAGAGCAGGCATCCTGACCTCAGAAGAAAAGCATTTCGCCCATCATCACCTGGGATAGTAATTGTGGTTTTGGCGTCTTTTTTTTTTTTAGATTCTCTGCCACGTTTAGAAAGTTCCTTTATTCCTAGTTTATGGGGTTTTATTTATTAGTTTATTTTTTATGCTTCACGAACTTGTGTGTCACCTTTGCAAGAGGCCATGCTAATCTTCTTTCTACCGTTTCCGTTTTAGTGTCTGTGCTGCCGAAACCAGCACCATTTTATTTTTTAAAACTATATTTTTACTGATTTCAGAGAGGAAGGGAGAGGGAGAGAGACATCAATGATGAGAGAGAATCCTGGCTTGGCTGCCTCCTGCACGCCCCCTGCTGGGGGTCGAGCCTGCCACCCCGGCGTGTGCCCTGACGGAGAATCGAATGCTGACCTCCGGGTGCATAGGTGGACGCTCAGCCACTGAGCCATGATGGCTGGGCTCACATCTGTTCTTGATAAAGATGCCCTCGCACACCAGGCCAAGCATTCTTCTCCCTACGTAGGAGTTGCGGGTCCCCAGACCGGCCCTCCTGGGAGGAAATGAAAGGAGCCCATAAAAAACTCCGCAGACGCCCATGTTCTTAGTTCTCACTGGCATTGGGTAACTTAAAAAAAAAGTCTCTCAAATATCTACGCCCTTCGTCAACTGCTGGGGTCCCGGAATGGCTGCTGTGACAATGTGCCCACTGTTGTCTTGACTGTAGCAGAGACAGGGTTGAGGCCTACACGAGCGTTTACTCCAGTAACGCAGGCAGCATGGGGGCAGCAGGTCGCCCATGAAAACCTGCTCACGTAGGGATGGGGAGGAGAGGCGGCGAGCTGGGGAGCGGGGATGGCTGCAGGGTCTGGTCCGTGTGTCTCCCTCCAGGATCTTCAAGTCCCATAACAAGGCCATTAATGTTTAACGGTGTGAAACCCAGCTCCGCCCGCCCCGGGCTGGAGAGCGGTCAGCATTCCTGAGGCAAACTCCCCAGGGGCCAGGGGCCAGGGGCCGGCACAGCAACCAAATCAGAGCACGTCCTGTCCTTCGTCCTCAAAACGCACCGTCTTCTCGGAGCCACGGACCCATCCAGGCCCCAAGGCACAGCTACCTTTTTATAAATATATATATTTTATTGATTCTTTACAGAGAGGAAGGGAGAGGGATAGAGAGTTAGAAACATCGATCAGCTGCCTCCTGCACACCTATCGGGGATGTGGCCACAACCAAAGTACATGCCCTTGACCGGAATCGAACCTGGGACCTTTCAGTCCGCAGGCCGACGCTCTATCCACTGAGCCACACCGGTTAGGGCCTACCTTTTTAAAAATAATATATTTTTACTGATTTCAGAGAGGAAGGGAGAGGGAGAGAGACAGAAACACGATGATGAGAGAGAACCACGGATGGGCCGCCTCCTGCACGCCCCCCACTGGGGATGCGCCCGCAGCCGGGCCTGGGCCCCGACCCGCAATCGAACTCGCCATCGAACCCTGACCTCCTGGCTCACAGGTCGCCGCTCGGCCCCTGGGCCGCCGCCGGGCTCTCGTCCTTTCACAGCCGCTTTTCTTCTTGCAACACCGGCTCCGGGCCTGCGGGCCCCTCCCACCTGCAGCTCCTCCGCGAACACCCATCAACAATGGGGTCCTGTGCCCCTTGGCACCTCCAGGCCGATTCCCAGCCCCAGCGTCTGCCTCCGCGCTGTCACCCTGACCCTGAACCCTGACCCCTGGCCCGGACCCCTGACCCTGACCCTGACTCTGACCCTGACCTCGGTCACGCAGGAGCCGGGGACTCCGACCATCAGGGACCCGGGAAGGGACCGCGGCGCAGGGCTGGGCGGCCCGAGCTTTTTGGGGCGCGGAGTGAGGAGGCGGGGCCTGGGCGCAGGAGTTGGTGGGGAGACGGAGGTAGGAGGGACCGCAGGATCCGGGACCACGTGCTCGGACCGGACTCCCGCAGGGCCGAGCCGACCTACGGCCTCTGACCTCCGACCCCGATCCGGCCCTCCTCGCGTGCGGGCCTCTCCTCGGCAGGGCTCGGTTTCCCGAGGGCGCATTTCCGGCTGCACCGCGGGCCGCACGGACCGCCCTGGCGGAGGCACCTTCCGGCGGCCCCGGCGCGGAGCCCTGGGCTCGGCTGCGGCCCCGTGGCAGCGGCTCTGCGCGAGCCCGGAGCGCCCGCACGTTTGGTGCTCACAGAATAATAGAGCTCCGTTTTTTTTTTATTTTGCTCCATGGTAGAGATTTGCTATAAGTTGCAGGATACCTTCCTTTAAATTTATCCTTGACACTCTCGACGTATGTCTCTCACCTTTGCGGTTGCGAACCATCCCCCATTCACTTACTAACTTGCTCCCGGCTCTCTTTTGCTCTATAGTCTATAGACTGTGGCTGGCAAA